CGCCCTCCCCCGCCTCCTCCCGGCCCACCTTCTGCTGGGGTTTGCGCGGAGGGGCTGCGCCCCCCGCCCGGCCTCCTGCGCCCAACCCCTCGCGTCCTCCGTGGGAGAGAGGTGGGTGGGAGGCGTGATAACCTGGGAGCGCTTGTTCCGTCGATGCGGCCCAGGAGAGGAACAAGAGTAAAAGGCAGGCCAGGCGACCTGGCCCACTTGTGACTCCGCACACCCACCGCTCGCTCAAAGGGCTGGTGCACCGCATCCGAGAAGTGGTGTAAGGAAGCTGTCGATGGTGACCCCAGTACACCTACGTTTTACTTCACCGAAGCCTTAGAAAATCTCACCGAGCATATACTTGCTTTTTCTTCCACTTCCAAATCTTCGGCCCTAAGTGACTGGAGTTCAGTGTGACTGTTTTCACAAGGTTCATGGTCCCAGCTCAATTTTAAGTATGGGAGGTGATGCTTTTGCAGCTGTAATTTGAGTCTTAATCGTATCACGCGCACACAAAAATTTTCATCCCAAATCAGGAACACTATGAGAAGCCCCACCTCACTCCTGCCAGATCTGCCCAACCCCTACACCTCTACTAGCATCCTCCACCATATGCTCCATGGCCACTGCTACTCAAGTCTTAATCTGATACGTAGAAGTCACTTTTTCTCCAGAAAGGGAACGCTATCAAACTTCTCTATTTTGGTAGCAGAATTTAGGCACGAAAAGCCAAGAGCAGTAGGAGACAAGGCATTATAACAGATGGACCTTCAGCTTCTGTAGGGTTCAGTTATAGGGAATTTAGTTATTGGGCCTAAAAGTAGCTCATGGTCACAGGAGCGTTCCAGATGCTTTTAGAAGGCCTTGAACAGAATAAACAAGAAGATAGAAAAAGAAAGATCCCAATTAGAAAAACACAGGTGCACATTCCACGATAAAGGGAACTTGGCACAAACAACCTCAATTCAGGGGCTTATCTCTACCAATTGGACTAAGACAAGTCCTGCATGCTCTAATTAATACGGCCAATTATGTCCTATGTTTATGCACGTGTACAGAGCGGGTATAACTAACTTTATCTTACGTTTGTGCGCATGGACAGTACCAATGTAACCAATCACCGTTTATGCTTGTGCGCGTGGACACCAAATGCTTGCATGCAGCAACCAATCAGAGTTTCTAAACAACTTAGAGAATTGTATAAAAATGATCGGCTAAGCTCAATAAAGGGACGACTTTAATCATCATATTGGTGTTCTATCGTCTGGGCACCGCACGGAATAATCCCTAAACCCTACAAGCTTCAGTACATCAGTTCATGTGCTGTATAAAATCCTGCAAGACCTACAGAAACAGCTTGTTTTTTATTGCACTCCAAAGAGAAACAGAACATGGTATAGATGAGATACAAGGTTGTGAGCTGCAACAAGCATCTTTCATCCATCATCCCATGAAGACAGCTGATGTATCCCTGGTTTTGTTTTCATTCTGAACACGTAGTGCAGAGTCTTCCTTTCGTCAGGTTTCTTCATAAGCCTTAATATTTCTATACAGTTTGTTTGGTAAACTTTCTCTTCGTTCATTCCACTACTAGTTTTAATCAACCAAGCATTCGGCAATATGTTTTATTTCTTTGTGTAAGTAGGTGTGGACTGAGAATACAAATAATTCCTTCATAATTCTGCCCTCAAGGAAAGCCTTAAAAAGAAGAACAAAAAGGCGCTCAGGAATTAAATTACATAAGGTGCTTCATCTCATCCATCCTGTGCAGCACATTCATCCTTAGTAGTGCAAGAACTAGATCTGATATTTCTATTTCCTCTCAATTTGGGGGAAAATAGGCACATTTTCAGAAAGTAAATCAAAGTGAATCAAAATCACCTTCTTTCCACATGTTGTTAAGTGGCCCAGCAATTTATATACCTTAATATATAAATTGGGTCATTGAAAGCCACTCCCTCTGTCATTCTCTACTACCCAGGCCAGTAAACATACACCCCAAATTAGAATCAAAGTGAATATTACTTGCCTTACGTAAGTATTATCTTCTGGATTTAAAGAAGCCTTTTGTTTCTCTAGCATGCAAGTGACTATGAGCATGAAATGTTGCTTTTTATTATGCTGATATAAATCTGGACAGACTTATTTAATTATCTTAGCAATAACAGCCAATCTAGTATGATAAATATCCTTGTATATTTATGGCTCTATCTCTGAAAACTTCACAAAGAAGAGCTCAGATGTTTGCAACTCCTAGCTTTTGCAAGGGTTCTTTTTTTGCTTTGTGTTTATCAAAGGCAGGCATTATGTTCTGCTGTTAAACAAAGTAACAGCTTGTCGGTTAATAAAATCATGCAGCTAGAAATAGAGAGGTAAAGGCAAGAGGGGTCAGTTACCACAGCAGAATAAAGCTTAAAATTTCAGCTGTAGTATTCAAAATAGGCAGCTCTTAAATTCTAAATCAGAGGTAAGAGGCATAGAAAGATAAAAAGGTAAAGCATGAATGTTGACACAAGAAATTCTTCGTTCTGAAAATGAGTGGGACTTAAGTGGAAAACAGAATTAAATATGGTAGGGAATTAGCATTGCATCTCCAAGGCAATTCCTATTTAAACCACATTGTGTGCAACAGCTGGGTGGGGTTTTTTTTTTAGGTTGTCTCCTCAGTACTATTAGTATCACAATAAGTTCTCCCCTGAAGCCTTTCCTGTCTGAAGAAAGGATGGTAGCAAGCAGATTGCCCACTGATTGCATTTAAAACAAATCTTTATTTAATGACACTGTTTACTTTGCATGAGCATCTAGAGCAAAAATCAATTAAGTAGTAATAAAAACTCCTTCAAGCCGTCTTGTGTTGCAGGCTAATATATTGGTTTAGTTGCTAGTGATCAAGTAAATCTATCACTATGAAAAGAATGGTTATTGACAATTGAAAAATGTTGCAGAGTAAAACCGATCAGAATTTACTGTCTTCAGGTTAAAAAATTCAAATGTAAAACTCTTCATGTGGAAACACTGGAAAGGTGTTCCCCTTGAACACTACATACGAAACTGAAAGCGTTCCCCTGTTTATTCAAAGGGTGACTCACACAGGCTCTCTGTGTTACCACAGAACTGATCGGTGATGTTCCTGAGAAGAAAGGTACCTCTGGAAACCCAAAAAGCTGCAGTATGAAAGGAAGCTATCTTA